CGGCCGGCGCGCGGCGGCAGCAGCGGCGGCAGGGGTAGACGCGGCGGCGGCCCGCGGAGCAGGGCGGTGGCGGCAGGGCACCAGACGAGCAGCCGCCGCTCGTTTCAAGCGGGCAGAGAAGTCGTTTGGAGAGGCAGCCGGGAGCGCGGCTGAGGCAGCGGCGGCGGCAGCAGGAGGAGCAGCAGCATCAGGAGCAGGAGCAGCAGCGCGGCACCCGGAGGCGGCTCGCTCACTGCACCACCACCACCGCCACCACCACCACCACCAGTGATAGGGCGGCGGCGGCGGCGGACAGCCAGCCCCTCACTTGAAGTGCCCAGCTATCTCTTCGTAGTAGCTGATGGTCTCTGCATCCAGGCGGCTGTGCCGCGGCCGGCCCTCGTCCCCTGCACCCTCCTGGCCTCCCTCTCCGGCCCCATGCTTGCGCTTCATCGGCGGCGCTGCCGGGCTGGCTGGGTGGCAGGGGTGGGTCGGCCTGCAGGCGGCGGCGGGAGGCGGGAGGCGGTGAGCGCGTGGATGGCGCGAGCAATGCAAGGCGTGCGGCAGCGCTTGGGTGAGCGGGTCGAGAGCCGCGGGGTGCAGCACCGAGGACTGCGCCGCCGCATGCCATGGGGCGCCCAGCGTTGCGAGGGCCGGGGATTGCGACACATCCCAACATAAAAATCGTTTCAGGGAAACGCCAACGCCGAGCGTTTGGCTGCACTCGCCTATTTTGGCACCGCCAGGAGAGCGACAGAAGGCCTATGCCACTCGGCGGCACCCAAATTGACAAATTGCGACTTGCGCAGCAGCGAGAAACGAGCCAGCGGCGCGCATGCATGCGGAAGGCCCGGCCCACGGCGTGCATGATGGGCAGCGCGCATGCATGGGCGGCCGCCACCGCTCTGCTTCTGCCCCTCGCTATCATGCTGGCCCCTCGGCCTTCCTCCTATGCATAGGTTACATGGCTATCTGAAACAAGCAGGACGACTGTACATTAAGGACGGCACGCAAGAAGGCTGGGCAGGGAGAAGGCTGGGCAGGGGAGCAGCCCCAATGAGAGTGCCACCCTGGGCAGGTTGCCACCTCTTCAGAAACGGAGGCCATCAGGAAACAGGCGCTCCAGCTCTGACGGCACGCCGTCGGGCAGCGGCACTCCCGCCAGGTATAGGTCCCGCAGGCGGGTGAGCGTGCGCAGGTTCTGCCAACCGCCCACCATTGTGTTGTTGTATGACAGGATGAGCTGCATCAGGGCCGTCAGCACCGACAGCTGCTCGGGCACGGCTGCCAGCTGGCATTCGGCGAGCTGCAGGTTTTCCAGCTGCCGCAGGGCAGCCAGCGGCGCCAGCGCCGAAAGGTTGTCGGAACAGATGGACAGCCTGGTCAGCCCAGTGAGCCGTGACATCGCCGCTGGCAGCCGGCGCAGGCGCTGAGGGACAGCTCTTGCAGCGCCGTCAGCGCACACAGGTGCTGCCAGTCAACAGCTGCCGGGATACCCAACAGGCACACAACGCAGCACAGTTGCGTGAGCGCCGTGAAGACTGGTAGTGCTGCCGCCACGTCTGCGCTGTCGGCGACGTTGATGAGTCTCAAGTGCTGCAGCAGGCTGAGCGGCAGCAGGTGCTGGCAGCGGATGGGCTCCACAGGAGGCGGCCCGTCGTCGGAGGTTTCAATGCCCAGAAAGGTGAGCGCTGTGAGGGTGGACATGGCGGCTGGCAGGCCTGGGAAGCAGGGGGGGGCCTCAAGGTCCCCTCCAGCGTATAAGCTCAGGTGCTCCAGCCGGCTCAGGGCAGCCAGGCCGTGCCAGCTGCCGGTGCAGTCCAGATCCAGCAGCCGCAGCGCTGTGAGCCGCCGCAGGCTGGCCACGTTGCCTGCCGGGAGAAAACTGCTTTCGAAAGGGAGCTCCAGACAGGTCAGCTGTGTGAGGTGTGCCAAGGCACTGATGAAGAGCCGAGCAGGGAGCCTGCCAGTGAAGTGGCCGGCAGCCAGCGAAGCCACCAGGCCGGCTGGCAGGGCCCTCAGGCAGGCGCCCACCTCCTCCTCGCTGGCGCGCCGCCGTGCTTGCCGGGAGGTATTAGGCATCCCAGGCAGCAGATCCAGCATGACGTGTGCACGAGCTGCAGCAGCAGGGGTTTTGCGGCTGGATGTTGGTGGGTGGGGGGAGGGCAAGGAGGCTGGAGCCTCGCTGGCCACCAGGCAGCCCTGAGGGCTCACCTCCATACTTGTGCAGCCAGGCCGCCACCGCCGCCACATCGGTCACAGTGAGCGTCACCACCACAGCGGCCTCCTGGAACCATGACAGGCTTGAGCCGTACAGGGCGGTGCAGCTGGCAGCCAGGCTCAGCCTGCAGTGTGGAGCAGGGTGGGCGGCACTGGCTCGCCGCTCGGGCAAGCGGCATGCAGAGTGCAGGCGCAGGACGGTTGACGCAGCAAGCACGCATCAAATTCATCGCAGCCTGCCCCTGCCCCGCTCACTTGTCCTGAAGCGACAGGTGGGAGAGGATGCCCTCCTGCGCCGGGCTGGCGGTGCCCAGCACGGCCACAGGTAACGAGGCCATGGCGGCGGCGGGGGTGGTGGGGCTGCAGGGCAGTGGCAGGAAGGGCAGTTCAGGGGTTGAGGAGGGTGAAGGATACTTGCGCTGCAAGGCTGGCTACACATACAACAGGTGGCCGGTCGGGAGCGGCCGGCGCTGGCGGGTTGTGCTGGCGGTGACTGGCACCAGCGCTGTGCTGCCTCGGCCCTCCTGACTGCCTCGCCTTAGGCGTGCGAGGGCGTCCTGGGGCGCCGGTGGCGCTGCGAAGAGCAGGCGCCGGTGGGCGAGCCCGACACCCAGCGGAGGAGACCAGCCTTTAGGGTTTTTAGGAGGGATGCGGGGGCTGCGCAGCGACAGGCGCGGCCGGTGCAGCACTCCTGGGCCGACCAGGCTCCGCAGCATGCCCAGCGCACCGGTCGGAGCGGCGGCGGGGCTGCCCGCCGACCTTTTGTCAACAACCTGGCAGCAGGGGCACTCAGCCTCGAATGGGCCATGTCGGCCGCTGCAGCTGAGAGCGCCAGCCTGGGAGGGGTGCCACACGCTCACAAGCGGAGGGTCAATGAAGAAGGCACTGCAGCGGCGGCGGCGCGGCCACCTCTGGGGGCGCGGCGCCGGGCGGCGGCACAGGTTCAGGTACACAGGTTCAGGTAGCGCGGGCGGGTGAGCCGGCACAGGTGCTGCCAGCCGCGTCAGGCTGTCAGAGCCGGCGGCGACCCGGGAACCGTTACCGGCTCACAATGGCTGAGGTCCGAGTGTGCCCAGCTGCCGCCGCTGGTTGATGGGCGCCGTGGTCTGAGCCAGCGGCCAGCCCGCAGCGGTTGCAGGCGCGCACAGGTTGCAGGTGCGGTTGCATGCCGCTGGATGGGGCTTGGATCCGGCACAGGGACGTCGCACCCCTGCCACGGGGAGGCGGCACAGCCTACTGTACTGCGAGCACGGCACAGCCGCCGCCACTGCTAGCAGCGCTGCGCACGCATGGGAGAAGGGCAGGGCAGGAACCCGGCTGCCAGTTGCTTTTGCTTTTGCTCTTGTGGTTACAGTCTGCATAGGCGCAGAGGAACTTACGACACACAGAGGTCGTAGGCGGCGCCGTGCTCCAGTCTCGCAGCGCCGTTGGCAGGCAACATGCCTTCAACCTCACAACAT